ACATTTTAAATTTTGCAATCATTTCATTAATGGCCGGTGCATAAGTTGAATTTGTTTTATACTAACCAAATACAACAAAAATTCCACAAATATACCATAAAAACTCGCGGGACAGACGGGATGGGACGGGACAAGCGGGACAGGCGGGACAGGACGAAATGGTCGTCCTGTCCCATCCCGTGTCCCGTTTAACATTGACCCATCCCGTTTAAAATGAAGTGGGACGGGACGGGATGGGACGCGGGACGGGCCGTCCGGTCCCGTCCCGTTGGACAGCCATACTCTACACCAGTATAGATTCCCAAAACAAAATCCAGAAAATGATAACTTGCAAAAGCAGCCAACAATGTAGTGGCTGGGATATCTAAGTGCCAGAATAAGGTGCAAGTTTAAAAAGCCAAGGAAAATCTAACTTTTTGTCATAATCTTAGTTCTTAGTATACTTCTGTCTTCTTTCCGTTCTTGCTAACACTTACTAATGCTGCGTGTCCTTATCATGCAGTCTTAACTTTCTAAGAGTGTTTGTAGCGAGCTTTATCTTTTTACCTTAAGTTCTTCTGCCATTCTTTCATTGCTTGTATTTTGCACACCACGTTTTATGGCTATCTTCGCAATAGCACTTCCTCTCCATAGCTTCGCCATGGCCGCGGCTAAACCTTGAAGTTCTCTGTTCCTTCCTGAACAATGCAGACAACAGTTTGGAGGTCAAAAGAGTTCAAAGATTTTCAAAAGAGGACAACGAAACATTAGAAACCCTTTCCACATACCTAAAGCAAAATGAGGGGGCATAATTCTCGCAGTTCTGCGCAGGTACGTCATTTCTTTGTTTTTAAGGTTAAGTTTAGCTCCATAAGGAAGACGTCGAAAAGGAGGTCTATAGCCAGGAACAACAGCAGGCAACATATCAGCATCAACAGGCAGTGGTTCACGACCTGACCAATCTTTGAATCGTGGACCAACTTCATCTAGCAGCATGTTGAGCTCGCTTAAATCCCTTATTTCTGCACCAGACAGATTACTGAAACCATTTCTCGGTCTTTCAGTAGCTTCATTTAAGGATTTGACTCCAAAGCTTTGACCGTTATCATTCTTTGAAGACTCTGATTCGTCAATATCATCATTTCTTGTCGTAAAAGATTGTACACAAGGAAGCTTGTATGGTATTCCTCTGTATAACACTATGGAACTGCCTGATCTCCAGATCACTAATCCTCCAGTTCTATGCTAACAATGGTCAAAGTATGATACACATAAGAATTCACAATACTACAATCTACACAGAAAACTGGAAAAATATACTCCCTCCGTCCCATTTTATGTGGCGGCGTTTGACTCGGCACGGAGTTTAAGAAAGAAAGGAAGACTTTTGAAACTTGTGGTCTAAAGAAAACCATAGATTATTGTGTGGCTGTAAAACAATTCATTAAGGGCACAGTAGAAATTCTAAAGATAAATTGTTTCTAAATAAGGACATTCTTTTTCGAAAAGGAAAGAGTGCCACATAAATTGGGACGGAGGGACTAACTGTGTGGATCACTGACAACAATCTAGGTGCCACTTGCCAATAATTACAACAAATGAACATAAATGTATGTACTAGATATCTATCTAATATTAACAAGAACCAACCTCTAGAATCTCATGAGTCCTCTTCATATTATGTGAAGGAGGACCTTCAAATCTCAATTTAACAATCTCATCCACTTTCCACTTCTCATGAATTGAATCAACAAGTTCCTGTGTTACACCAGCTGATCCAACCTTTATTCTCTCCACCATCCTCAATGCTGCATTTCTTAGCTTCTTCAGTTGAGGTTCAGGTATCATTTTCTCTGCCATTTCTGTATTACTTTTTCTCAGCTTGTCTCCGCTCGCAGGTCCCACATCTCTCTCACCTTGCCATGGCAATCTAACTGAATTAGCATAAGTAATACCCTTGTCAAAATTTGAGGAACTCTGAACCTCATATCTATGTGAAACCTTTGTTTCCAATTTGATATCTTTTTCATCTTTTCCTGATTCAATATCCAATTCTTCAGAAACATTATTTTCCCAATTAGCATTCTTTTCAAAATTTCTAGCCTCAAAAGAATCAAGCTGAGATTTTTTGGGTTGATTTCCATGAACCCAAGGAGCTAAATTTACCTTAATTCTTGAACCAGAACTCACTGACTCATTTACTACTGGATTTTCTTCAGTTTTTGATACAGAAGAAAGGAGGTCTTGTTCTGCAACTTCTTCTATTGATACTGAATTTAATTCTTGCCAAGGGAATTTTTCCCTTAATGAAGTGGTTTTAACAGACCATTTATCTTGAACTTGTTCGAGAAAGCTTGGTCTAGGTTTTTGCTTCTTTTTTGTCTGATTCGTTTGATTTTCTTTATCTGAATGAATTGTTTGGGAAGAACAGTAAATTCTTATACTTTTAGCTCTAAAGTTTTGCAAAGATTGAATTTTGGGTAATGGAATGGGAAATTGAAGTGTTTTTGAAGAAGGGTAACTGAAAGGAGGAGAAATATAATCAAACGATAATTTTGTAAAGGCCATAGCGGCCATGAACAACTAACTGTATCTTGCTGAATTCTTATCACCAAATCGCCATAGCTTGAACAGAGACCAATATTGGGCGAATTGCAGCCATAGCCACTTTTAAGCCCGCTATTTGAAATATATCCATAATTTACAATGTATTTAAAGATTAGTCAATTTATCCAAATTTCAAGAGTAAGAATCCGTTTTGCCATGAAATATTTTTTCAATTTTTTTCTAAATTTTTTACTTTTTTTTTTAAATCAGTATTTGGCCATAAAATTTTTAATTTTTCCTTTAAGACTATTTTTGAAATTTTTCAAAAATTTGAAAAACTCCAAAAAACTATTTTTCAGAATTTTCACTCAGATCACTCACAAAAATTCAAAAATAACCCAAAATTATATTTATGTCCAAACACAACTCTAATTTTCAAATACATTTTCATTTGAAAAATAAATTTCACTTTTTTCGAATTTTTACAATTTTTATGTCCAAACACCCACTAATTATCCAGAATTTGTGAGCTACTAATTTGAAATTCAGTATTAAATGTGCTAAATTTATGAACTACTAATTTAAAATTCAGGACATATGATTCGAAATTCAAGATACAATTTTCGAATTTTAGGACACGATGTCCTAAGTTTGAATTTTGAGGTTTAAACTCTAGGATGTCGTGTCCTGAAGTTTGAGCAAAATTATCTAATTTTTAAATATATTGTAAACTGTGAATATATTTTAAACAACATGCTTAAAAATGGCTACATGATGTCATTTTTCACACAGATAGGGCTTTGGATAATGGGCCAGCCTCTGGCCCATACATGTTACTCACGTAGTAGTGTTAATTGGGCTGTAGTTTTCTCTATTCTGAATTAGTAAAAATTGCACGGGACGTCATATTTGGTCGCCCCTATTTAACGTATATCCATTTTTAAAAAAGTTTTAACTTGTACCCACTTTTTAAATAACTTCAGCCCCCTTTCTCATCCTCCTTCTCCTCCTTCGTTTTCTTCTTTTTCCTTCTGCTGCTGTTGGTGATGCTATGAAACTTCAGTTCATGGAATGATTGTCATAAGTATGTTTATCAGATTATTTAAAAATAAATTATAAATACTCACGTAAGTTAGTAGACAATAATTTGTGAATATTTCCACGTACGAGAAGTTTAAGGTCACACTTCGTGATTCTTTTCATGATAATTCTGTTCTTTTCACGTTTATTGTTTTCAAATTTTATGATTTAGATATTGTTGGCAATCTGATTATTTTATAGTAGTAATACTCTATGAAAGAATAATGTGATTATTTATCTAGTATGTTAGAAAGCTTTTTCAAAAACTTCAGCTTATATAGTGCTGGAGCTTTTACAAATGAACTAAATAACTTCAGCATCTTCTGCTGAAGTTTTTGAAAAAGCTTTATGACAAAACTAATGAATCCAGTATAAAAAAAACTTCAGCTTATTTAGTGCAAAAGGTTTTACAAATAAATTAAATAACTTCAGCATCTTCTGCTGAAGTTTTTGAAAAAGCTTTATGACAAAACTGATGAATCCAGGACAAAATACTTCAGCTTATTTAGTGCTGAAGTATTTACAAATGAACTAAATAACTTCAGCATCTTCTGCTGAAGTTTTTGAAAAAGCTTAATGACAAAACTAATGAATCCGGGACAAAAAAACTTCAGCTTATTTAGTGCTGAAATTTTTACAAATGAATTGAATAACTTCATTATCACAAAACTTCAACTACTAGAATGCTTAAGTTCAGCAATTACAAATAAAAACTTCAGCAAATAGAGAACAAAATTCAGCACTAAAATGCTTAAGTTCAGCAATTACAAACAAAAACTTCAACACACTTGGTTCAGGAATTTTTGCTACTTCAAGCCCGTCTACTAGAATACTGAAGTTTGCGTGATTGTCTTTGCTACTTCAGGCCCGTATGCTGAAGTTACGCGAAAAAGTGGGTAGGCTTGCAATTTTTTTTTTTGTAAAGCGGGTACAAGTTAAAACGTGACCCAAAAAACGGGTATAAATACAAATGCCCCTCTGAATTTTCATGTGAGACCTAAAATGCAGCCCGACTAGATGGGTCAAAAATTAAAAGAATTCTAAGATGAATTAACTTAAATAATCGTTCAATCAACAACTTAAATTAAAAATAGTAGGTGGATGCATAATATATATATAATCATAAATAATTAGTAAATAAGTTATATATATCGGCTAGGAAAAGTTAAAAATGAATCTGGCAAGATGTTTGTGTAATGAAGCGACAGAGACCGTATTGTCATATAATGGACTTAATTTCTATTTTTGGGTGACATAAAAAGTTGTTTAATATAAAAGATGAAGAACTTGATTTCCCTGTACATAGGCTTAGTCAGTATTTGAAGCTTATGAGTTTAAAATTCTAATCATTTTAATTTACTGGATTCTAAATTAATAATTTGTATATATTCATTGATTTTTTTAAGACATACAAGATTTGAACAAAAACCAGTGGATTCGACCGAACCGGTAAACTATACTCAATATATATCCTATGCAGGCATTAATTATCCCCCATCCCTATACTATTATTATCATCTTGCCCTCACTAAAATGAGCTAAATGAAAATCTTTTGTCCTGGTGACAGAATCATCTTTGGATCAAACTGACTTTTCCTTTGTTGAAATATTTTCCATTTTTTGCCAAAATGGTTCATCCAAGCTTCCTTGGATTTGTAATGTGGAAGATACTGCTTGATGTTGAGACCAGCTTTTTCACAGTAGTTTATGATTTCTTCATTTTGTCCATCCAAAACTTCCCAGTCATTGAATCCACTAGAATGCAATAGCCCTACGCAGTAGAATGTGTCCTCTTCTGGTATCACAACAGACATCCGATCATCCCATCTGAATATTTACATAAAGTACTAATGATCAGTTTCAACCAGCAAATATCTAAATCAAAATGTTATATATAGTGAGGAGAAATTGAAAAGAAATTAAAGTATCAGAGGTGAGTACTTTTTTCTGGTTGTTGGGTACACAAGAATAGGTCCTGTGGTCTTGTTTTGTCTGAGAATAATGTCCAAGAAGACACCAACATTAAAGTCCATAATACTGGATTTTGGTACAAAGAGATTGAGCCAAGGGTGAGGAACATCCCACATTCCATTTGATTGCAGCCTTAGCTCACCACTTCTTACTCTATTCAGAAAATGTACAAATGTTGTATCTTTCTTGAATATGTGTCCAGACAGAAAGTTCAAACCTCTCATCATCTTCTGCAATTCCTGAATAAAAACATCAAATACAGTCAAATCTCTCTATAACATACTCGTTTGTTATGAATATTTTTGGATGTTATAGCGAAGTGCTGTTTTAGAGAACATATATTATAACATAACATAAAATTTGGTTTTGGAAAAGCTTGACTTTTATAGTGAAGTGTTGTTATATAGAGATGTTGTTATAGAGAGAGCTAATAGTATATGATTTCTCAACAAGACTAATTTTAGTGCATGTACATTTTTACTTTGTAAAATAAAATCTATCATGATTTTTAAGCACTCTCCCCGTTCCAAATTATGCCTATGTCATGGAGATTGAACAGTTTATATATATATATNTCACCACGATAGCTATGGCCATATGCCACACCATTTTTGTGGCTATAAAAATATATTTAGAAATTTGTGTAGTATTATAAAAACTTCTAACAAGACCTTTTATATAAATGTATGAAGTTTAAAATTAAGGGTTCAAATATAAAATGTGCCATATTTTCGCAAAATAGACAAATAAATAAATTATTACTATCACATAAAATGGGGTAAAGGGTGTACTAAACGCTATGTATTGTGACAAGAGCATAGTGTAATCTTCCCCCGTTGTGTCTAATTAGATTTAGTACTATACAGAGTACAATACAATAATTTCACCTTACAATAAATAAATATGCAGGATCGAATATACGATGAGGTTCTTAGCCTATATTAAAATGCAAAACTGCCGTCAAAATGGGTTTGACCCCTGAGGTCAGTCCAACCCAACTCGCTACTTGATAGGATTAGGTTGAGACTTTTTTAGCCCATTTAAAATCGAAGTTTATAAGCCCGGCCCAGGTCAGCCCGCTAGCCCTTGAAGCTTGACCGAATGTTTGGGTCTGGGCCGGCTTGTGGGTAAAAAATTAATTAAATTTAAATTTAAATATTTAATATTTTAAAAAGTAAAAACTAAAAAAAACTATTCACTATAAGTCCCATTCCCCAAACTATTTTCTTTTACTTAATTAATAACAAAATAGGAAAGTTTAAGCGGTCAACAATAAAAAAAATTCAAAAAAAAAAATATTACTTTAAGTGGCCAATGATCTATTTAAATATATTATTAATAACAAAACTGTTTTTCTGTATAGAAAAATATTAATTTTTAATAGCCAAAAAAAATTGACAACACTAGCAAATTTCATGAATTTTAAAATTTTTATGGAATATAATGATGAAATCAGCAAATAATGTTAAACCTAGAAGAAATATTTAAAGATTTTTTTTAAAGAAAAATTGAATCAACGGTCCTCTTAGGGCCGGGTTGGGTTGTCTATTTAAGGCCCATTCAGATGGTTGGCCAACCCATCCTAGCTCACCAAATTTAAAAGCTCACAGGGCTTGAGCTGGGCTGGCCCGTTGATAGCTCTAACAAAACACAACAAAATTCATTTATCATATTAGCAATTTTCAAATTTTCCTTTTTAAATTTCTTTATGAAGTTACACAACCTAGTGGAATAATAAATGGTACCTTATCAACAGTATTAGCACACTGATCATCATAGTACTTGACCATTTCCAAACAGTAGATAATTCCATATTTGGATATCAAGGAAATTATTTTAGATTGGTTGGAAGTTGAGAAAAAGGAAGATCTCCAATTATTTGGAGGACTTTGATTCATCATTAGAGAGCCTTCCACATAGTCCATGCCATTATTAATGGAGATCAGTTTTTCTTGGTCTTTTGTGAATTTTGAAAAATCACTATAGAACACTCTAACCCATTTCACCTGCAAGACATTAAATAAAAATTAGAAATTCTCCCCAAAAAAAAAAAAAAAAAAAAAAAAAAAAAA